TCTGGGCTCCTTCATCCCCTCGCGCGCCGTCGCCCTCTCCTTCGAGTCGCCTGGCGTCTGGACGGCAAGCATCCACCACCCGTCGCCGGCGGCCGGCGCGCTCCCGCGCTACAAGTACGGCCTGCGCAAGGAGGACGGCGCGCTCGTCTGGGAGGCCGGCGCCGCCCGCCGCCTCGCCCCGCTCCCCGACGCCCCTGTCGGCGACGTCCTCGTGCGCGACGAGTGGCGCCACCTCCCGGACCCCTCCCGCGAGATCTTCTCCACCGCCGCCTTCACCGAGGTCATCTTCCGCCGCCCGAAGTACACCAGGGACGGCGTCAAGCTCACGGCCGCGAAGGCCGCGAACGCAGTCACGGAGGCTCTCGTGCTGGGCAAGGGCTCGTATGTCGCTAGGTTTGCCGTCTTTGCGGAGAGGGTCCGCTTGTCGGATCAAGTCTGCGTTGTTGGCAACGTCGACCAGCTTGGTAATGCCAACGTTGATAACGCTATCCCTATGGCCGATTGTAACTCCCCGGTGTGGGAGACTTGCGTCGCCTTGCCGGCCGATGCTATGGATGTGAGCTATCGCTTTATCATTCGCAACAAGGCCACTAAGAAGCTCGTCTTAGAGGACGTCGTCGAGCGTCGCCTCTGTCTCAACCACGAAGACAAGGTCTTTCTCTCCAAGAAGGCCGGCGTCGCCCCGATAGTTCTAGCCCCAAGCGAAGCCAGTATTCGCTTCCCGACCAACTGGAAGGGCGCAGGTGTCGCCCTCCCGGTTTTCTCTATCCGCTCAGCAACCAGCTGCGGCGTAGGCGAGTTTAACGACCTGCCCAAAGTCGTTGATCTTTGTGTCGCCGCAGGCTACCAGCTGCTGCAGCTGCTTCCGATCAATGATACCACGTCGAACAACAACTTTCGCGATAGCTATCCGTACTCAGCTGTGTCTTCTTTTGCACTGCACCCGCAGTATTTGAACATCGAGTCCTTGGGGAACATGCCATCGTCCGTCGCCAAGGAGTATCGGGTTGAGAAGGATCGCCTCAACGCACTGGACAAGATCGATTACATGAAGGTCATGGAGGTCAAGACGCGCTTCATCCGCATGATGTACAAGAGATACAAGGAGGAATTTCTAGAGTCCAAGGAGTTTTTGACATGGTTTGAAGACAACCAGGGCTGGCTCGTGCCATACGCCCTCTTCCGCTTCTTCATGGAAGTCAACGGCAGCTCTAATTATGATCAATGGGGTGCCCGGAAGAGCGTCAGTCTGGCCGACATGGAGAAACTGGCTTCGCCAGAAAGCTTTCACTTCGAGTATTTGGGCGTGGCATACTACACCCAGTTCCACCTGCACAAACAGTTGTCTGCCGCTGCCAAATATGCTGCAGAACACCATGTCGTCTTCAAGGGAGACCTCCCCATCGGAGTAAATCGGTATTGCGTAGACACATGGGTGAATCCACATCTATTCCGACTCAATATGCAAGCGGGAGCACCGCCAGACTTTTTTTCCGCTCACGGCCAGAACTGGTTCTTCCCGACTTATAACTGGGATGCTATGAGCAAGGACAACTATGCATGGTGGAGGTACCGTCTTGGACACATGGCCAAATACTTTCACGCCTACCGGATTGACCACATTCTGGGATTCTTCAGGATTTGGGAGATCCCGGCCGGCTTCAAGACAGGTATGTCTGGGCGCTTCTACCCGGCTCATGGAATTAGTCGTCAGGAACTTGAGTCGTTAGGTCTGTGGGACATTGATCGGTTTGTCAAACCGTACGTCCACGACGGCATTCTACAGGAATTGTTCCACGAGGATTGGTGGAAAATTAAGGATCGCTTCTTCGAGCCGTTGTGGCATGACCGTCTCAAGTTCAAAGAGGAATTTGACACTGAGAGAAAAGTTGAACAAGCCCTTGTACTGCCAGAAGATGCACCCAAGGCTGAGAAACAGTACAACGAGAATGTCCAAAATCACCTTTTCGACATCTTCAACAATGTCTGTCTACTAGCTGATGTTGAGGATCCCAACGCATTCCACCCGCGGTTTAAGATGCAAACAACTAAAAGTTATGCAGAATTAGACTCAAACGAATGGAAAGGTGCCCTGTGCAACTTGCACGAAGACTATTATCACCGCCGTCAAGAAGAACTTTGGAAGAAGAATGGTCTCGAACGGCTACCCATGATGAAATCTGCAAGCGAAATGTTGGTATGTGGTGAAGATCTAGGTATGGTTCCGCATTGCGTTCCAGCAGTTATGAAGGAAACGAGCATTTTGAGCCTGGCCGTGCAGAGAATGCCGGCCGGAGACGTAGAGTTTGGCAAGCCATCCGAGTATCCGTATGAGTGCGTGGCCACAACGTCTTCGCATGATACGAGTACGTTCCGAGGATGGTGGGAAGAGATTCCGAGAGAGCTTCGCGCACAGTACTGGACTGAAATCATGGGAAGGAGCAGGGACACGCAACCACCTGCCATTTGCACACCAGAAATAGTTGAATGGGCAGTGGCAGATCACTTGGCTTCCCCTGCAATGTGGACGATCTTCCCGTTGCAAGACATACTCGGAATGGACCAAAAATTGCGTGTGAAGGATGCCGCATCGGAGCGAATCAATGATCCTTCCAATCCAGACCACGTTTGGTGCTTCCGCCTCCACCTGAATATTGAAGATATAACCACGAATGAAGGGTTTGTGGGGAAGTTAGCTCGTTTGAACATGCAGCACAATCGCGGCTCTGCGTACTGATTTTGTATATTTATTAGACAAGTAAAACCACCTTATCGGTGACGCTAAAATGATGTATCGGAGCCTTGTTGTGCAAGATGGGAAGAATTGGGCACCAGTGGGTGTTCTCCGTGTGTTATCCCCTCGTCTGTGCAGGGCCCTACAGTATTAAAATTTATGGCATAGGTTTGTGTCTAGAACGTCTCCTACTGTACCTCTATGTGGAGTTCTGAGCTTGCTTAGGACAGCTATTTTTTTGCAACAATATATACATTAAATTGAACATTCAAAAAGCTTCCTTAAGCACTATTTCATCAACGTGCTTGTTTTCGGCAATAACATCTCGCAGAACACCGGGATAGCAGCTTTGAATGCGCAAAAAGCTTAAGCATATAATGCAGATTGAGTACAAAGTTGCTTTTTTGAACTGACATTTTTGGTTTCGAAGTTATTTTATATATGGTTTTAGGGTGGTATAAAAAAGCTTCTTTTCCAGACATATCTAAAAACGACCACCGAGAACATGCAATTCTCACAAAGTTCTTTCTGTTCCCATGTCAGAAGTCAAGTACGGTGGCCGGGGTATCATTTTCTTTCTTGTCGGGAAGCGGAAGTCAATAATAAAATATGTCGAATACTGTCCTCATATGAGGATAAATATCCTCACATGAGGACAATGGTCCGATAGACACTAGTGGTGGTAGTTCGACTTTAGGTAGGTTTATCGGACCATGGACAGAACTTAACCGTGAGTCGGGCGGACAACAAACAGGTGTACTGAGTACCCCGTACCTAAAAAGCCCTCAACGTGATCCGAAACAGTCTCTGTTACCCTAGTTCTGTATAAACCTACGCGCACAACAGCATCGTCGCACCTGAATAAGACAGTCACTGCCATGCCTTGCATGAAAGATGGGGCACGGGCAGTGACTGGATTTTTTAATGAAAGCCTGAAGCTAGGGAACGCATCATCAGGTCAGCGATTGGAGCGGCTGTTAACGCTCCCAACGATTTGGTCAGCTGTTTGATATTGTAAGCGACCGGGACGAATTTTGCGTCTGGTAGCTTGGATGACATGGTACGAATAGGGAATCCCGTGAATGAGAAACCCACTGAGAAACCTCACTAGCCATTGCGGTGTCCAATGCTTGTCATGGTCATCAGAGGAGACGAAGGTGATATATGGAACAAAAGATGAAATTACGCGAGTCTGGAATATCGCAACAGAGGAAGTGGTCGGCATTATGTGGGGTGCTCATGGAAAGGCAATCACTTATGTTTCGTGGTCACCCAAGGGGAACAAGTCTGCGTCCGGGGGAGGAGGTGGTAGAGTATGGATTTGGGACGACTTGAAGGGAGAGGCTGCGGATGGTTCACTGCATCCTCATCGCCAACAGGTCAGGTGTCTACAGTGGTCACCAGACGAGGCGACACTCGTATCTGGGGGAGAGGATGGTGAGGCGTATGTTCGAGATAGCGAGAGTGGAACGGTGATCCAGATGGCAAGTTTTGGACATATCGAACCAGTTCAGTGTCTCCCCTGCTCGCCAGATGGGAAGAAAGTTTTGATGGGAGACAGGATTGGAATGATGCATTTGCACGGTAGCGCTTATGCAAAAACACGGTCGTAAGCACTGGTTAGTCAAAACCAAGGCATTTGTTCCGTGCCTGATCGGCAGATGGGAAAAGGTTTCTAGCAGCAGGATGCGATGGGGAGATACGGATCTGCAATGTCGAGAAGACACAGGAACTCACTAATGCGTCACAAGAACAGAACAAGGGGATTAGATGTGCCGCATGGTTACCGAGCCGGAGTACAGTAGTATCCGGTGGATGGAATGGAAAACTGGAAGCATGAGATGGAGTCTCGGGGACGGCGGTTGGGGAAGCATTTGAAGAGCCTTCGGTAACAGGTGTGTGTTTGGCGTAGTCACCAAATGGCACAAGGGTTATAGCTGGGGGTGGGATGGCAAGGTGCGCCTGTGGGATGTTGCCATTGGTAAATTGTTGTGGGAGTCCCTTTTTGAACACAGTGGAACAGTGGTTTGAGTCTCGTGGTCACCAGCCGGAGCGAGAATTGCGCCGGGAGGAAGCTATGGGACGTTAGGAGTTGTCATGCCGAAAAATGGAAGGGCAGTGTGGGAGAGACTAGAAGCACACTGCGCAGCAGTCTCATACTCCTATTAGTCTCCGTATGCGGCTGGCTCTGAGTCTGCAGGACTTTCCAGCACACTGGCGGGAATGCCACTGAGGAGACAGGAGCTAAGCACCGAAAAGGGCTTCGGAGTGTAAGATGGTCCTCAGATAGAAGGCAGATAATCTGGGGGGGATGCGATGCGATGGTAGTGTTCTGGAGAAGCGGCCATGAGGGTCTAGTCGTTACGGAAGCGCCTTGCGACTTCGTGAATGATTTGCAACTACGTGCGTTGTTTGGCACTATCTCAGCTGCAGACAGTAGAGAAGCAGCAGGTAGGGTGAAGCTGGAAGACAAGCTTGTATCGTATTTTGCAACTGGGAAGGAACTGGTTCTTGCACTCTCGAAAAGGATAGAAGATGGTACTCCTCTCCGTCGCCTCGTGTCTATCGGACTGTTGTTCTCATATGAGGACACTATTCGACTTCTTTTTTTTCTTGACTTCTGCTTCCGCGACAAGAAGGAAACAGATACCCCCGCCACTGTACTTGGCTTCTGACTTGGGGCTAGAAATAACTTTGTGAGAATTGCACGTTCTTCCTGGTCGTGTTTAGATATGTCTGGAAAAGGAACCTTTTTAAACCACCTTAAAACTGCATGTAAAATAACTTAGAAACCAAAACCCCCAGTGTAAAAAGGGGACTAGGTACTATATCTGCGTCGCATTCTTAATCTTTCTGCGTATTCAAAGCTGCTATGTCGGTGTTCTGCAAGATGCTATTGCCGAAAACAGGTACGTTAAGGAAATAGTGTCCAGGATAGCTTTTTAAATATTCAATATATTTTAACTATTTTTGCATAAGAGCTGTCCCCATACGGTATGAGGACAAGTCCCCGGTCGGATAGACAATACCTCTCGAGAGGTAGCTAGACGCACCTTCTGGGATTGTCAGATGGCAAGATTGAAATTTTCGAGCTGGTGAGTGTTAACGCAAGGGCTGGAAAAATTTGCAGAAACAGTTCGAGGATATGGCCTCCTTCTCCTACTTTGGGGATGTGTCGGTCTGGGCCGTCGCCGCTCCTCTCCGCTTCATTATCGGCACCTCCACGTGCGCGCGTCCCGCCCGTCACAAGTGAGGCCAGTTTGGGCTGGCACTGCCCCCATCACTGCTCTCATCACTGCCCGTGCCGGCCCCTTGACGCCTCACAGGACACTGGCTGGGCATCGAGAAACTCGACCTCAACGCTGGAAGGCAACCGCTCTCGCGACTCCTTCAACTATATTATAGAGACGTCCCGCCAGGTCGCATCTACTTTTCGAGACATGACTGTCCATACGATATGGAGAGGCTACAGTATGCATGGAACGTTTCTGGCATTTGAAAAACGAACACGGTATGGTACGGTAAGCAGGGCAAGTTCCTCAGGAGGGTCTCGCTATTCAAACAGTTGCGGCTTGGCATGCCCCCACCATTCTTGCCTCTTGCTTCCGGCCCTCCGCGGCCTCGTCACGAACGTCGTGACAGTTCATTGAAAAGGGAAGTCCCTTTCATCCTTCTGTAACCACCCTTGTTGTTTTGACATTGTCCTAGATATTCGTGTGGGCTCTCGACTAGGGTTGCATCCGAAGATTCCATTTACAGTACTAATGTAGCGACTAAAGTGCCTCGATAGCAGAGTAGTAATTCATGCAGAGGGAAGTTGTTCTCTAGACTAATTCTTTTGTTCGCAGAGTAGCTAATGAAGCCCATAGCGTATAGCAATAGCAATCTCCCATAGACTCTGAGGGCCGTATCCTTCCCGGGTCATTCATGGATTGTACAGGGGAGAAATCTAGCATCGCTCTCGACGTGCGCAGAGCGATGCAGCAGCAAGCAGTTGTAATCTGCGTTTGTCTACGAATTCGCCTTTGCCCAGGAATTCGCATTTATCGTACGTGCAGTAAATAGAGATGGCACAGTGGTCCTCGGCGAGATACAAGAATGGTCCTCGGCGGTACTCACTGTATTTCACAGCCGTCTCGTGGTTGAGTCCCCTTTACTGGGGGATCACCGTTGAATTCATTTGTACAGTTTCGTGTAAGATAGAGTTTCGCACACAGTGCATCAATGTACAGTGGCCATTAAGTATAAAGACACCCCAGAAAACTTCATTGCTGGGCCATTTTAGGGTCTACGGTATCGATTGTGAGAAATCACTTGGGACAAATGGCATTTATCCCAACTTATTATTCACATCCAAAATTTTATCTTTGAAATGGATTTACGGTAGGCTGATCTAGAAAGGCGGCGTGAGTATTACCATTACGGCACGTTTTCATCACAGCCTCCCCTGTTCCTGATCCATGCCACCAACATGCCTCTCCACCGGCTCCGCGATCACACACCTGCTCGAACTACAGAAAGAAGGCATGACTGGTTGCAGGCTGTCTCTACTATAGCCCGAAGGAGGCAGACCAGCGCCAACGCATCTATCAGCACAGCCTTGGTACTGGCAGCTCAAGAATACGCTGAAGCGGATCACTGCTACATGACGTACATGCGCAGATGAGAGATATCTCTATCAAATTTCAGTACAACATTGCCAATGACATCTGAAGATGCATGCCTTTCTCACTTTCGCTTTTGTCACAGCGACTTGAGCCAAATCGCAGAAGCTATTGCATGGCCAGAAATGCAAGTCAGAATCATACGCATCGGATATTCAGTCACGCCTCCTCGTTGCGTTCGTTGTGCCGCGCTGAATGTCATCACCAGCTCGCTGGAAAGACCTCGAGATGTTGTTCTCGAAGCATACGCCTCAGCTCTCAGATATTTTCTGGGAGGGAATCGAGGCTTTTGTCAAGCAGAGAGCGCACTTGTGGGCGCGCACTTGTGGGCTCGTCCTGCACCTCTTTGGACCTGTCGAGGGCAGACGCCACTACTGGACGCTATATC